TAATCTCCTCCAGCCTCAACACCCTCCTATCTCTGTAAATTCCTCCAGCCCATATAAACTTCCTTAGCTCTGTAATTGTCTTTACCCTCACAAAGCTCCCTTTGTTTGAAATCCAATCCAGCCTCACAATCCTCACCATTTCTGTAACCTCCTCCAACCTCACACTTTTCCCTATTTTAGTAATCTTCTCCACTCTCAGAACCCTTCCTGTCTCTAATATCCTCCAGCCTCACAAATCTCAATGATGTGCTTTCCTCTAATACAATGCTTATGATGATACCCCATTTTTACTCCTCCACTTGATGGCGGCACTTTCAATTTCCTGGGCTTCAAGCTCCAGAATATCCTGGTAAACCGCTTCATCTCTATACCTCACTTTTCTCCTGAAAACATTGACCAATCATGAGTCATTTATTCTAATATCTCCTTTTCTGAACTGGCTTGAAATATTGCTTGGCATCTTCCTATGTGAAGTGTCTCGGAGGTCTACAGTACAAAAAAAGGCTCTGTGGCCCATCCAGCCTGTGCCGGTTAAAAACCACCACCTAACTATTCTAATCTAAATTTCCAGCACTTGGCCCATAGACTTGTCTGCAGTGGCATCACAAGTGTGCATCTAAATATGTCTTAAATGTTATGAGGATCTCTGTGTCTACCACCTTTACAGACAGTGAGGTTCAGAGCAATTGTCACAGCATGAAAACGTCACAGACAGGAACAGAGACGAGCTGAGTCTGTGCAAACCAAAGATCACCCACACATTGTGAAGGATGGGAGGGTCCCTGATAGGGGGCAGAGGAGATTTAACAGAATCATTTGTAGGAAGAGGGTTTTTAGTTGCATGGTTAGGGCTGCTTTTTACATTATTCTTTCATGTGACTTGGGCGTTGCTGGTACATATCGAGAATATCCATCTACAATAGATGGACTCTCCTTTCCAACCTTTCCCCTCACCTGGGGTGTGGTAATCTTCAGGTTAAACCAGCCCTATGGTCAGGTAGGACAATGGTGACTTTACCTTTGGCACAGTGATGCTACTGTGCCTTAGTGGTGAAGAGGGGCATGTTGAATGTGGTGGATGGGACACCACTCTGACACAGTGCTTCATCTGGAGGATGTTCAGTTTCTTTAATATTGTTGGGGCTGCACTGATGCGGGTAAGTGGAAAATGTTCCAACACAATCCGGATGAGTGCCTTATAGACAGCAAACAAGTCATTGGGGAATCAGGTGTTTGGGGAAACTGAGATTGTTCTCCTTGTAAGAAAGGAATTTGAGGGGACCTTTGATAGAGGTGTTTACAAAAGATATACATATGGATGATAAAACGTATACTCATCAACTGATCATAAAAAAGGATTACAGGACACATATTGAAAGTTTTAGGGAAGATCTATTGAGAGAATGGGGTGATTTAAGAGAGAAATTTTACACGGCAAATGGGAATGAGCAGGAACACAATACTCACACACAATGCGAATATCCAGGTCCTGATGAACTGAGTAATTCTGTCAGAGTTTGGTGTTACAATTATTGAGATTCCCACCTGAAAGTCCACTTGTAATATCCTGTAACACAAATTCATAAAATCCATAACTGTCAGTCCAGGGTAGAAATTCACAACATCTCCTCCTCCTGGCCGAGGATAACTGTGCATTGTCCCTGCTACACATTATCCCTTGTGGAGGTCAGCAGTGAATTCAGGGGGAAAACTATTTGGGTTTCTGGGAGTTTCCACCTTGGGACTTCATGTCACTGAACAGATCAGCAGGTCTTTGACACATGGCAAAGAATGGCCAAGAGTTAGTGAGATGCAGACAGCAGGATTCGTTTCCTTTTCTTTCCTTCCGTGCTGCTGCACTGCCACAATGAGACTTTGGGCCGGAAAAGCTAACGCAGCTTGATGGATAAGTTGTCTCGATTCTGAACAATGGACAGTAAGCTTCTCCCAGTCATTCGAAAGAATGCCCATTAAAAAGGTAGCAATTACGTATATGTCGTGTTGCCCAGTGTTCCCAACGAAAAGATTAGAAGAATGAGGGAGGATTTCATAAAAAAGGGATAACAGTCAAGTTTCATGAGGGTTACAGTTTATGGAGAGATTTGATACATGGGTGACAAGTTGGCAAATGGAGTACAATGTGGGAAAATGTGAAGTTGTTCATTTTTGAGGAGACAACCAAAGAACACAGTGTTACTGAAAAGGTAAAAACTGTGGAAAACTGCAACACAAAGGGACTCAGGAATAATTGTGCAGGAAACACGAAGCGAGCACACAGTTGCAACAGGTAATCAGGAAGGGTAATGGGAAGTTATCCCTTTTGTCAAGGTGTTTGCAGTATAAGAGTTTGGAATATATGTCTTTGGACAAATGTACAAATTGCTGGTAAGACCACATCTGGAGGAATGTGAGCAACTTTTTTGGTCCACTTATTCAAGCAAATATATCACTTCATTGGAGGCACTTCAGAGAAGATGAACTAGGATAATCATTGGTTTGGAGGGATTATCTTTTAAGCTAAGACTAAACAGGTTTAGAACCTACTAACTAGATTTTTGAAGAATGAGAGATGATCTAATTAAAAATATAGGATTCTTAAGGGAGTTGACAGCATAAAGGCTGAGGGGATATTTCCCATCGTGGGAGCAGATTCTTGATACGGCGGAGTCGTCAAGTTTAAGGCAACACAGACATGGGTAACGGGTTTCAATCGCAAATGAGCTGGAGTGAGGTGGAGAGAAGGAGATGTTAGAGATTGAAATTTCTGGCATTTGTGATTGAGAAGATGTATGGTAAGATGTTCATCTTGAGGCCAGATATGAGAGCATTATTGAGAAGGGTGCAGTTCAGCCTCAGACAGTTCCCAGTGAGAGGGATCGATTCAGTACAGTAGTAAGGAAAAGTAATTTGTAATAACAAGTGAAGGCAATGGGTCTAACTATTACAAAGTGTTATTGGAGGAAATTTCAGCTAATCAAGTAGTGGAAGCATGATAAGCAGTGTTATAACTGAGTAACATTGGGACAAAGGAGAGTGATGGAGGGGAGTTAGATCTGAACATTGTAGTATACGTGTGAAACCTAACACGGTGCTTGTGAAAGATCTCACCTCCTGGCAGTATATCGATGAAAAAACAGGATGGGCCAAGGACAGATTCTTGAGGGACATCGAATACATGGATTTCAGACAGGAAAGAGAGAGTGGAGATGGAGTGGGATTTTCCAATGACGGTCAGGTCAAATATTGGTTTTAAACAGAATGGGTGAGAAGGACATAACCAGAAAAGAGAAACAGACAGAACAAGTAACAATATCTGTGAATTGGCATGGGGGAGAGGCAAGGAGGAGGAGGAGAAATAAGACAGAGTTAGAATGTTTGTAGTTTAGCGAGAATAGGGCAAAGGGTTAAGATGAGCTCTGATAAGGCTTGACACGAGACTGGAGAAAGATGCAAGTTTAGGACTAAAACGAGGAGCAACATGCAAGGCAATTTGATTTGGTGGGCGAGTGGAAGAGAGGGAAGCAGCAGAGACAGCTGATTGGATTGTCTCAATCTTAGTGACATAGAAACTCCATGTGTCTCCCTCACTTGTTGTTGGAGGGGAGGATGGAAAAGACAGGATGATGGACGTGTTTTGCAAAGAAACAATGCCTGTGTTAGTTACATTTAAAAATGAGTGAACAAACCTGATGTACTTAACTTTTATCCAGAATATTAAAATGTACAACAGAAGTTGGGGTTCGAATCCCATGTCAGCAGATGGTGGAATTTGAATTCAATAAAAAATAACTGGAATTAAGAATCAACTGGTTGCCATGGAACCATTGCTAATGGCAGAAAAAAAATCTAATGTCCTTCAGGGAAAGAAATTGGCCAACCTCAGCAAGCCACTCAGTTGCAAATCACTGCAAAGTCTCAACAAAGGAATGAAACTGGGTGGACCACTTGGCATCTACCAAGGCACTAGGAAAGACAACTGCAGAATCAGCCCTATCGACCCCGCAAACTCCTCCTTACTAATATCTGGGGGCCAGTGGCAAAACTTGGAGAGCTGACTCAAAGACTAGTCAAGAAACAGCGTCATATGCATGGAATCATACCTTACAGACAATGACACACGTCACTATCACTGTCCTTTGATAAGTCCTGTCCCACGAGCAGGACAGACCCGGCAGACGTGGCAACACAGTGGTATTTTGACCAGATTGATTTGACCTGAGAGTACTCGACACTGACTCTGACGCCTAGGAGTCTCATGGCTCCTGCTGATTACCATGTACCATCCTCCCTCGGTTGATAAATCGGCAGCAGTATTATTGCTGGATTATTAATCCAGAGACCCAGCTAACGTTCTGGGGACTTGGGTTCGAATCCTGCCATGGTAGATGGTGAAATTTGAATTAAATAATGATCTGGAATTAAGAGTCTAATGATGACCATGAAACCATTGCCGATTATCAGGAAAGACCGATCTGGTTCACTGATGTCCTTTTGGGAAGGAAATCTGCCATCCTTACTTGGTCTGGACTACATGTGACTCCAAACCTACAGCAATGTGGTTGACTCTTAACTGCCTTCTGGGCAATTAGGGATGGGCAATAAACGCTGGCAAAGCCAGCGATTTCCACATCCCAAGAGTGAATTTTAATAAAAAAAAAACTCCTCCATGTTGAACAGCACTTGGAGGAAGCACTGAGAGTGTAAATGGCACCAAATGTACTCAATGTCCACCATCAGGAGTAGTTTGCAGCAGGATTACCAATCAAGCTGGTCAGGTCCTAAAGGACAAAGCTGCCTGGCTGGGACTGCAGCAGGTGGTGACGCAACCAACAAAAGGGAAAAACATAGCTGATCTCATTGTCACGAATTTCTCAGCTGCAGATGCATCTGTCCTTGACAGGATTGATAACAGCGACCACCGCACAGTCCTGTGGAGACAAAGCCTCATCTTAAACTGGAGAATACCCTCCATTGTGTTGAGCGGCACTAACATCGGCTAAATGGGACAGACTTGGAACAGATATAGGAACTCAAAACCAGATATCTATGAGGCTTTGTGGGACATCAACAGCAGCAGAACTTACTCCAGCACAATCTGTAACCTCATGGCCCAGCATATCCTGCACTCAACCATTACCATTGATCCAGGGGATCAACACTGGTTGAATGGATAGTATAGGAGGGCATGCCAAGAACAGCACCAGGTATACCTAAAACTAAGGTGCCAACCTGGTAAAACTACCAAACAGGACTATCTGCATGCCAAATAGCATAAGCAGCAAGAGTTAGAGCTAAGCCACCCCATAACCAATAGATCAGATCTAAGCTCTGCAGTTCTGCCACACCCAGTCGTGAATGGTGATGGACAATTAAACAACTCACTGGAGGAAGCATGCCAAAAATCCCCATCCTTACTGACAGAGGAGCCCAACCTATCCATGCAAAAGATAAGACTGCAGAATTTGCAACAATCTTCAACCAGAAGTGCCAATTGGATGATCCATCTCAGCCTTCTTCAGAGGTCCCCAACATCACAGATGAAAGTTTTCATCCAATCTGATTCATTTCAAATAATATTAATAAATGGATGAATAGTGCAAAGGTTATGGGTCCTGGCAATAGTACCGATGACTTGTGCTCGAGATCTTGCTACCCGCCAAGCCAAACTGTTTCAGTACTGTTACAGCACCAACATCTACCGACAATTTGGAACATTGCCCAGGTCTGTTGAGCACAAAAACACAGAGCAAATCCAACCTGACCAATCTCCCCTCAAGCAGCCTACACTCTATCATCAGTAAAGTGCTGGAAGGTGTCGTCAACAGCGCTATTAAGCAGCACTTACTCTGCAGTAACCTGCTCAGTGACACCCAGTTTGGGTTCCGCCGGACACTCAGTTCCTGATCTTATTACAGACTTGATCCACAAATTCACAAACAGCTGAATTCCTGAGGTGAGGTGAGGGTAACTGCACAGTCCTGCACCAAAACCACTTATTTCCACTTCAGTGACAATGACCTGACTCCACCTTAGTTTCAGCTCATCTGCTGAACCTCTCATCCATTCCTGTGTTACCTCTCGACTTAACTATCCAAACACACTCCCAGTCGGCCTCTCACATTCAACGTCCCTGTAATCTCAAGAATATCTAAAATTCTGCTGCACACATGTTCATTTGTACCAAAACCTGTTCACCCATCACTGTTGTGCTCCCTGACCCATAAAGGCTCCTATCTATAAGCAACAACAATTTAAAATTCTCACTCTTGATTTAATTCCTGGCTGTGATGATCCCTATCTCCCTGCACCACACAACCTTCGAGACTCCAACAATGCATTTAATCATTGCTTCACAATTGGAGGCTGTTTCTACAGTTGCCAGGCAACATGGTCTGGAATTCCCATGATAAACCTCTCAGGTTTGCTTTCCTTCTTTAAGATATTCATGAAAACCTGCGTATTTGGTAATGCTTTTGGTCACCTGACCTGATATTTATATCTATGGCCTTACATCAAAAGTTCCTTGATAACATTTTTGTGAAATTATAAACATGATAAAAATAAAAATTACACCATACACCATCAGCTCTTCAGTATCGCTAGATGAATGATCTGTAACTTTTCAAATAACCGCATTGTGGGAGCACCTTCATCATACAAACTGCAGCAGCACAAGAAAGTCAAACATCACCTTTTCCACAGGCAACAGGGCTTTGGCAACGATCGCTGGTATCTGTGGAAGGAGAAACAGAGTAAATGTTGCAGAAGTGCAAAATGAATGACATGGAATAAAAATGCTGTAGAATTTGATGGTCTGAAATGGAAGGGAAATGCACTCTCTTTCTCAGAAAATATTTCCTGACTGTGAAAGATACCATTCAAAAATTCATCTCGTAAGAGAGCAGCACATGGTCAGGTGGTGGGCAGCAGTGGAAAATTCATTTACAAAAGGTCTATGAAAGTAACAGTAAAATACAAAACAGAGATCAAATATATCCACCATTACAGACTGAAGAGATTAGATACCGACAAAGAGGTGATCAGGGAGCACAGAAATGAGTAAGAGCAGTGCCAGCTGCTATGATCCCACACTCTGGGAAATAAATCCAGAAGAAACAAACATTTCTCTTGGTTTGAATTTCATCTGTGTAAATCCTCTCCGATCACTTTCATTTCTGAAGAAGAGTCCAGACTCGAAAGGTCAGCTTTCCTGCTCCTCTGATGCTGCCGAGCCTGCTGTGTTCCTCCAGTTCCACACCTTGTTATCTCACTTTCGACCAGAGACGGCTGCGCATGCGACCAGCTTCACCTTGGCCCTTTCAAACTTTCAAAGCTGCCGCGCATGTGCCCCGCGGATCATTGCCCCCAATAAAGATGGTGGCGGTCACACAGGCCTATCGCCATCTGAGGCGTTGATTTGTTTTCTGCAAACATGAGTCTGGGAGTTTCAAATGTGTGTTTTCCGACGTGCACTAAGTGTCTGTAAAGCTTCCAAGCCCGTACGAATATCACTTCCCTCCCGCTTTCTGCCGTTTTTCTTTCTTTCTTTTCCATGTCCTGCGCTTACCTCAATTGCACAAATCTCGGTCTCAGCCACTCTGCAGTGCGCGCGTGGATGATCACGTGGTTTACACCGGTCCCGGCCCTTCTTCACTCCGATTGGTTAGAAGGGCAGCTACGTCCGCCAGGACTGCCCCGCCGGCCCTGTGCTGCTATTGGTCCCGCACTGACATCAATCATTCAGACGCGATTGTGAGCTGGAGCATGCGCAGTGCTTCTTGTTGTCATTATCAGAAGCTAATTATCGTCATCAGAATCTTGCATTTTCAGACAAATGAAAATTAGAACTAGATTAGAAAGATTGTTACAGAGATAGTAGCAACTGCTGATATCCCCAACGGACTCAATGTGGCCCAGGATGAGGCATTCCACTCCCGTACATCTCAGTTGTCCTCGTTTTTCAAGGACCGTAACTTCCCCTCCTCGGTGGTCGAGAACGCCCTCAACCGTGTCTCCCACATCTCCCGCACCTCATCCCTCACACCCCGTCCACGCAATAAAAACCAAAAAAGAATCCCCCTCGTCCTCACGTACCACCCCACCAACCTCCGGATCCAACGCATCATCCTCCGACACTTCTGCCATCTGCAATCAGACCCCACCACCAAAGACATCTTTCCCTCCCCACCCTTATCTGCTTTCCGGAGGGACCACTCTCTCCGTGACTCCCTTGTCCGCTCCACACTCCCCTCCAGCTCCACCACACCCGGCACTTCTCCCTGCAACTGCAGGAAGTGCTACACCTGTCCCCATACCTCCTCCCTCACCCCCATCTCAGGTCCCAAGAAAACTTTCCACATGAAGCAGATGTTCATCTGCAATGTGGTATACTTATTCTGCTGTACCTGTTGTGGCCTCCTCTACATCGGCGAAACCAAGCAGAGGCTCGGGGTCCGCTTTGCAGAACACCTACGCTCGGTTCGCAATAAACAATAAACAACTGCACCTCCCAGCCGCGAACCATTTCAACTCCCCCTCCCATTCCTCAGACGACGTGTCCATCACTGCTCACAATCATGGTGCAATATTTCAACCCAAGGTGAGTTTCCAACCACATTACTCACCCCCACACCCATCATCACAAAGACCACATACCATTTCAACTTCAGTAGCATCTCAGTTCATCTGCTGCTGAAACTCTCATCTATTCCTTTGTTACCTCTAGACTTAACTTCCCAAACACACTCCCGGCCGGCTTCTTAATTCCACTTCCCCGTAATCTTGAGATGATCCAAAAATCTGCTGCCCACGTGTTTACTCTCACCCATTTCAATATCTTCGTGTTTTGCCATCCTGTGCTCACTAACATACACATTTTCTGGGTGGCAAAGGACCAAGATATTGAAATTCATATCCTTATTTTGAAATTTTGTCATCACACCTCCTTCTTTTGATAGTCCCTCCAGCCTCAAAACCCTCTGAGATATATCTGAAGAAGGGTCACTGGACCCAAAACAATAATTCTGCTTTCTCTCCGCAGGTACCGCCAGATATGCTGAGTATTACATCAATCAACAGTAAAGGAATTAAGGGTTATGGTGAGTGGGCGGGTAAGTGCAGCTGAGTCTCAAAGATCAGCCATGATCTCATTAAATGGCGGGGCAGGATCAGGGGCCAGATGGCCTACTCCTGCTCCTAGTTCTTATTTTCTAATTTCTGTTTATGTTACTACTTTCAAGCATCTACAGTTCTTTTGGTTTTTCCTTCGAAATATTTGTTCTCCCTGACTTCCAACCTCCTGTGGATTCCTGGTTTTAACTCTACCACCTTTTTCATGCTTTCAGTTTCCAAGGCCATAAGCTCTTGAATTTACTCCCTAAACATCCCTGATTTTCAAAGTCCCTTTGTTTGTTCAGGATATTCCTTAAAACCTACTTCTTTGGCCAGTTTTTGGTCACTTGTTCTAATATGTCCAGAAGTGCCTGGTATCAAATATTGTTTTATGACAACCTTGTGTAATATGTCAGATCATTGGATAGAATCAAAATGTGAAATATTTAAATTGTTCATTTGGAAAACACCACTAATCCTTCACAATCTTTTGTAACTCCTTACCTAATAGCATTGCAAGTGCAGTTTCGCCACATGGCCTGCAACGGTTCAGGAAGGTCAAACATCAAATTCTCCAGAGCTAACTGAGGATTGGCAATAGTTACTGATACCTGTGGAGAGTGATCCAAAGTTAATGTATCAGGATATGTTGAATGAATGACATGGTGCAGAACTTGTTGGGTAATATAAGCTCAGAAACAGAATAGAAAAGGACTGCATTAAGAATAATTCCTGACTATGAAACATACTGTGCGAAGACAAAGCTTCTAAATCCATAGGGTTTGATCAAAGAAATGTGATGAAAACATCATCTGGACATAATTTGATAGAGTAACAGAAACATTAAACAGACAGGTACTCACACACTATTAGAGACAGAGGGAAGGCAGAAGTGAAACAGAGCAATATACTGAAATGGATTCAGATCCATACTAAAGGAGACACACCAGCCCCAGAGCTACAGAACCTCTCACAGGTAACAGGCACAACACTAAAACTCAACATTGTTGACGAATGGTCAGAAATACTCAACCACGTCACTGTTGTCAATTTGAAATTCTCCTGTTGCACCTGCAGCTGGAAAGATATCAGAAATACTGGAGTTAGAGAAAAATCTCACACTTGAGGAAACCCCTAAGGAACAGGTGATGTCACTGTGCTCCTGTTGCTGCATGATGACATCACACACGGGAACACAGAGCATCTCGGTTTGTGCAAACCAGAGATCACCCACACATTGGGAAGGATGGAGGGTCGCTGAGTGGAAGCAGACCTGTTCCTTTGCCAGAAAGGTTAAAAATTGAAAGATTTATGATGTGAGGGATTAACTGAAGCTGAAGGGAGATATGACATAGCTGTACTGTTTACTGTTGGTTTAGACAATGTAGATAAAACAAAGGGTTCACATTGACTGAAAAGAAATGGATCATGGGTTACAAATGTCAGATTTCGATCAACATAGAGGTTATAATAGAAAAATTACATGCAGTGAGTGGTAATGACAGGGACCTCAATACTTACACTCAAAAGGCCAATAATATCCAGTCTCTGATGAATCGATTGATCATGCCAAATTTTGATTTGATGTTTGTTTAAAGTTTCCTGTCTGTGAATCTTTTTTATATATTCTGTAAAAGAAGTTTAGTAAAGACAGTGTCAGTCCACGTTAGAAATCAGACATACAAATTATTCCCTTTGTTTGATTTAATATTTTATATGTCTGTCCATCCTTACAAGCCTCAGTGAAAGAAGCTTCAAAAATCCATCACAATCAGTGCAGAGATAAAAGTATAATAACTGGTTCTAAACATGAACACTATTTCTCTCTCCCGAGAGGTTGCCAGTCCTACTGGGTGCTTTCCAGCGCCTATCTTTTATTTCAGGAATTCACAACATCCCTCCTCCTGGCCGAGGATGACCAGGTATACTCAGAACAGAGATTATCATACATTGTGAAGGAGGGGAGGATCCTCAGAGGAGATAGATTCATTCATAAGCCAGAAAGTTTCAGGACTGAGGGATTTGTGATGCGATGGACCAACTGGAGTTGAAGGGAGATTTGACAGGACTTATGGGCTCATAATTGGTTTAGGTAAGGTAAATAAAAGCAATAAGTTCACAGTTGCCGAGGGAAAATGGACAATGAAATACAACTTTAACATTTTGGACAAGATCGACAAGGAGGATCTGATAAAGAAGCTATATGAAAGGGATTCTATAGCCAGGCTGCAATAATTGTTTGAGATAGTTTGACTGAGCGGTCAAAAGCGCTGCATTTAAGCTCTAGTCTCTATCGAGTCGTGGGTTTGAATCCTACCGGTAACCAAAGTCATGAGTGATCTACCTCAAGCAGTCACATCAAAGGAGCTGGGCAACTTCAAGTTTGCAATGTTTACATTTCGTCTGGGTGATTGTGGCTCCTTGGGTCTCTGATACTCTCGGTGATGAAAGTGCGAAAATTGGCAACAGACTCCGAAAACAACGAGAGCTCTAGCTTCACAACGGCCGTTCAGATCTCTGCTAACACCCTGCTTTAGGAAATTTTGCATGGCTTGTTGATGCCGGTTTTTATGGTTCAACTGGTCGGCATTAGGTGGTAAACTGAAAAGTCGGTTGTTTGAGACCATCCAGGCGCACAACTTTAGTTATTTTGGATCAAGCAATTTGAGTGACCACCTACCTGCATTTAACCCATGAAAAAGCTACAACAAGATTGGATTCAAAACACATCCATCAATGATTCTCTCTTCCCCAGCTCCACACGGAGTGAGACAGGGACAAGCAGCAGGCTTTGACCTCCCTCTCTCCATTCCCCGTTGCCAGATTTTATGGGCAGGGAGATCAAGGACAGGGAGATCAAAAGATCGTACAAATGGTTTGAGTGTTGTGTCCAATAATAAGTCTCTGCAGGTGATCTAAAGTGTTAAACGGTGTGAGTGAAGTGTCAACAGCTGAATACCAGGCGAAGGGATGACCTTTAATCCGATTAAATGAGGCAGAGAGATAATTACAAAAACAAACTAAAAGTAAGATTGTGCTTGGCAGAAGCCAAATGCTGGAATAATGTCATAGGTATAAGAATCGCATGTTGATAGTCTAACCAAAGTAATAAATAATCCAAGATAACAAGGTGTAAAGCTGGATGAACACAGCAGGCCAAGCAGCATCAGAGGAGCAGGAAGGCTGACGTTTCGGGCCTAGACCCTTCTTCAGAAATAAATGAGGTTATGGATGGCCTGGGAGATGATGTTTTGGGGTTATGATCAAGAGGACGGTAGGAGGAGGTGTCAGAGAGCTGACACATGGCTCATATATAAGTTATCCTTATAGGAGAAAAATACAAAGAATACTTGCACACACAGCAACAAATGTCCCCGAGAATACCAGAGTCAATGTCCGAGCCTCTTCAAGGGCAAGGTGCCTTGACTGTCTTTGCTCAGTCAGACAGTTTCATGCTTCATTCTTCCTCCCTTCTGAAGGTTCAGAGTGCTGAGACTGGGTTTTTGTTTTTTTCTCATTCCCA